AAAATGCCTCTAATAAGTGAAAGGGAGTGCTAAGATAATAAAAGCATTTATTATTTTTAAAATTTTTGACCACAAATGGCAGCACACTGATACAAACCATATTAAAAACTATGAAATTCCATTTTAAAACTATTTTTAATAAAATTCTAGCAATACTTTGTTAAGAAATGAAATACCCAGGACAGGAGCTAAGAGTCATCAACTGATTAAGCAGTCACCACAGACCTTGAACTTAGGCAGCAGGAGTGAGGCAGAGCTGGTGGGTGTCCCCCTTTCCTGCTCAGGGGAATATCACCAAGGATTGCTATTTCAACCAGAGTCTTTGGTAGAGCGAGATCCAGCTCCTGCTATGCCTACTTACTCATGTCTGCCAATGATGCAGTTTGTTTTAGCAGCTAGGATACAGGTTACCAGCACCAGCTCTGGAGCCAGGGCCCAGCTCCACCATTTCCTCTCTGGGACCTTGGGCAAGTCACTTCTCATCTCAGAATTCCACATCCATTGCATGGAAAGCAAGCGTGGGACAGGGCTCTCCCCCGCCACTCCTGCAAGGTGAGGATTCCGCTGGCTAAAGATTGGTACCTAGGCTGCCTGACTGCATGGTTTTATTGCAATTAGTACTTCGCAAGTACCAGAGTTGACCTGTGAGTTGGGTACACCTCAAGGATTTGTAGTGCTTCCCGTGGGCACACTGATACAAACCATAACTGGGGGCCAAAGACATAAAGTTGGAGGTCTCATAATAAAGAGCCAACTACCTGTCTTTTTTAGAACAATCAGAAAGCTTCTAGACAGGAGACAGCCAAACAGCTGCTCTGCAAGCCTTTGGCTGGTTGGTCCAACAACCTGCTCCAAGTGCCAGATGCTTGTTTCCCACCTAGCGACTTCGGGGCTTGTTCCAACTGCCTAAGTACCTCTGAGCCCACCATCTGGCATACAGCCACAAGCTGAACAGACCCAGTCCCTGCCCTCACAGGGCTCACAGGCTACCTGGGTCGGAATGCAGATGGATTTCTCCCCAGAGGTTCATCTCCAGGAAACC